AAATTTCAGAATTCGGAATAAAAGATTATTGTTCCAAAATCAAAATGAAAAACTAATCAAAATCGGCGAAAATTGAAAATTTCGTTTCAGTTTTCACCCGTAATCTCACATAAAAAAATAGTAGTAACAAGTTCCCATACATTTATCTAAAAATACTTCATATATCACCAAATCATATTAACTTGTGAATTACATAATCCACTTGCATACTTAGTAAGTTAGTTTTTAGAGGCACGACGAACAAACAACATTTGTTCTCTAACCTCAAGCTCGTGTGCAGTGACCCTTCGCATTATATTCGCGGTCAACTATATATCTAGCTCGACTGATGCCGAGTGATGCCAAACAAAAATTGCAATTATCATTTTTTTAGTTACATTTTACCGGTTAACTAGTGATTAACCAACTCAAATCTAGTGAGTACGTCGATATTGTGGTACGTACGTGGAGTCTTTAACACGTCTCTATTATTTTTTTTTTCTGTAAAGAGAAACTTGCAAGAATGAAAAGCAACAGCAAACCAAATGATGAGATTTAACAGAATTATATGATGAAATTAGTTAGCCATATGCACCAACCATCCATCCATTACTCTTTACTTCAAACCTCAAATATTTAAAAAAAAAAAAATTAAAATAATTCCTGGACACCAACAAAATGTTCCTATACATCCCCTAGGCTGTACTAATATTAGGCTGTCTAATTTATTACAAATTATTTATCGGATACTATTTACATATAACATGTTAAATTTTTATATGCTACATCGCATAAAATACAAGTGGCAATATAGTCTGATCGCAACATATTTACACACAATGATAACATATAATTAACCTATATATATATATATATATATATATATATATATATATATATATATATATATATATATATATATATATATATATATGATTATGAACATGCATGTATAAAACGTACGATAGTGATAATTCATTGGATATAATAAGCCAAGCATTTAATTACTATCATTATCATTAATAATTAATAAAGAAAATAAAGACTAATCAAAAGTCATGTAATCAACTAATCCCACCCATTAAAATAATTAAAATTCTACCAACCGGTTGCACAAATTAATTAACAGAACATATATACATATATAGTGGCGAAAATCCATTCTTTACGTTATATTGGCCTCTGAAATTCCAATCATTTCATATTCAAACTTAGCTTGTTCTCATCATATATATATATATATATATATATATATATATATATATATATATATATATATATATACAAATTTG